CCAACCCCACAATCAGAAGCTAGGATCAGCATGAAATTCTGTGGAGTTGAAAGCATGAGAATCAGCACCCTGCCCTATTCCTACTGCAGGCTTGCTGGGATTATCCAGTACCCTGCCCTAAATCTACTGCAGGCATGCTGGGGTCATTCAGCACAGATCTGAGATTCCTCTGTATCCGTCTCTTTTGTTTACCAGTAACAGCAGACACACATCCTGTATTGGACATGACCACAAAACTGTAGACACTAGAATAAAACCACATGCTTCAAATCCTGGGGAAATCTCTTTTTTTCTTTACTTTTGGGTTTTTTTTCTTCCTTTGTAGGGAAAGATGGATGACAGGCAGGGAAAAGTAAGGGCCTTCTTGAGGTTTCTGGAAAATCCTGACTGGTAAGAGTTAAACCCCAACAGTGAGAGCAATTAAAAGAAGCTGGGAAAACTGGTGAGCAGCCCAGCTTGCCTTGAAGCCAGGGCCCAATGAGCTCTTCACCTCCAGTCAAGTACAAAGGAGACAAGGTGGGGAGGGGGCTATATGATAAAAAATTCACAGTATATAAAATATATACTCAAACGGGGACTCTCACAGAGCTATATATAAATACACATATATTTTATTATTGTTTCACCATGTTAATGTGGTAAAATGCACACATATTCCTGTATAATTCCTAACTCAGCCTTGACTGTGAGGCTCTACTCTAAAGCTCATCCGTATCACTTTGATAAAACAAAGAAGACCAAAGGAAGCTTACAAGAATTTGCATATAGGCAATAGAGGTCAGTAGCCGAATCAGGGATCTGAGCGCCTAAAGTAGCCAATAAATTTATAACAACTCTCAAAAGGGAAGACTTTCTTGCCATATAACAAATGGGCTAAGAACAAAAGTTCACAAGTACTGGCTCTGTGCTTCCTCTCTTACTCTGACAAGGTGTCTATCTCCTTATTTCTCTCCTCATTCCATTGAAGTGACTTTGTTTTTCCTTCTAAACTTGTATCTCTTAATTTTTAATTGGTATAATGTTTATGAACCCCAGATAAAATTTGCCCTTACCATATGTGATATCTTGATTGTTTTTTTTTTGTTTGTCATGAGTATGAACATTGTTTTCAGGGCTTTTTGTTACGTTTTGTTATTTCCTTCTTTCTTTCCCTCCTGTCTTCTTTACCAGTTTCATGCAGGTTGGGTAATCTTCCCTTGTCCTTCAGCCTTGCTTCTAATCACTTTCTCTTCTCTTATTTCTCTATTTTACCTTTGTATCCCTTTTAAATTTTCTCCTTTGAGGGTAAAATCACTCTATTGAGTAGATATTTACCGTGTAAAATTTTCTGATTTGTTTTAGATTTTGTTATAAAACTATAAATCTTGTAGCCATTGTTTAAGGGGACAAATTAACAGTTACAATGGATTGTCATTTTCTAGACTGTGCTTGATGCTATTATTATTACTGATTGTACTACTTTAGCCAAGGTGAAATAGTTGTTGTGATCAGCACTGTATGTCAATATTGAGATTTTTCTGGAAATCATAAACAGTACCATTGTCCAGCATTAAAGATCTGGGTGCTAGGCCAAATAGGCAGCAACTTCTCATCTCTAATAAGTTGAAGAGGCAGGATCTTGGGACAGACTTGAAAGGCAAAAGCCAGCTACACTTAGAAGTCATCTCTGAAAAGTCATCACTTCAGCAGGAGGTCTTGATACTAATAACAAAGCTACCCACCAAAAGCAATTTACAAGCACCCAATCCAAAAATGAGCATCTGAAATGCATAGATAATTCTCAGATTAAGAGTTAAAAACAGCAAATAAATATATAAAAAAAGTTCAATATCCATGGTGATGCAAGAAATGCAAATTAAGATACACTGACACTCTATCTCACTCCAGAAAAGAATGGCATCATCAAGAAATCAACAAATAACCAATGCTAGTGAGGCTGTGGGGGAAAAGGGATGCTTCTCCACTGTTGGTGGGAGTGTAAATTGGTACAACCAATATGGGAATTAAAACTTCAAACACCAAAATCTAGAGGTTCCATTTTCCCAAGTATTCCCCTTCTATGTGTCTTCCAAGAGTTAAAAGCATGATACCACAGTGATATATATATATATACAGCCATGGTCATAGCAGCACAATTTGTAATAGCTAAATCTTGGAAACAGCCCAGATGCCCATCAAGTAAAAAATCCTTACCCAATCTTTTGGTTTTTCTCCAGTACCGGGAACCAAACTCAGACCTTGCACTTGCCAGGCAGGCGCTTTGCCGCTGAGCTAAATCCCCAGCCCCCTTAGCCAATCTTATATATTAATAAAAAGAAGGAAATCAATGCTAATAGAAATGGAAAATCACAACAGACAGTACTGAAAAACAGACTAATAACTACTTTAAAACATATACTCCAATAAACTAAAGAATTCAAAGTATTGGACAGATTTCTAGATACATGTGTGAATTACCAAAATTGTACCTAGAAGATATGAAAACCCTGTGTAATTCAATAACAAACAACAAAATTGAAGTAGTAATAAAAAAACTACTAAGAAAAGCCCAGCACTTGATGGATTCACTACTGAAATGTACAAAAGCTTAGGGAAAATCTAATGTCAATATTCTGCAAAATCTTTAATGAAATTGAAAAGAAAGGAGTACTATTAAAGAGATTACTGCAAGCTAAAATTACCCTGATCCCAAAACCAGAAAGGGACCCAATTAAAAAACAGAACTATAGATACATCTCTTTAATGAACACAGACATAAAAATTCTCAACAAGATACTTGCAAACAAAATTCAACAAATCATCAAAAAGCCTTACCTTAGCTGGATGTGCTATAATCCTAGCACTTGGGGGCCTGAGGCAGGAGGACTGCTGGGAGTTTGAAGTTAGCCTGTGCTACATAGTGTGTTCAAGGCCATCCTGAACTACACAGCAAGACCCTGTCTGAAAAAAACCAAAACCCAAAGACCCAAAACCAAACTAAACCAAAACAAAACAAAATGCCATACATCATGACTGACTAGGCTTCATCACAGGCATGCAAGGATAGCTTAACATACACAAATCAATTTACCACATAATTGTTACAGAAGCCAAAAATAAAAAATTACATGATCATCTCAATGGAAACAGAAAACTTTCTGACAAAATCCAACATTTGTGCACAGTAAAAACCCTGAAGAAATAGGTATAGAAGTTCTTTATTTGAATCTGATAAAACTCATTCTTGTTACTTTTTTTTTTTTTTTTTTTTTTTTTTTTTTTTTTTTTTTCCGGTACCAGGAATTGAACTCACGACCTTGTGCTTGCCAGGCAGGTGCTTTGCCGCTGTGCTAAATCCCCAGCCCCTAAACTTCATTCTTGAAAAACAAATGGCCAACATCATATTAAAGAGGGAAAAGCTGAAAGCTTTCCCTCTAAAATCAGGAATAACAAGAATGTCCACTATCACCACTCTTGTTCAATATACTACTTGAAATACTAGCTGTAGCAATCAGGCAAAATAAAGAAACAAAAGGGATACATGTAGGCAAAGAAGAGGTCAAATTACTATTTATGGATGCCATAATCCTTTATTTAAAAACTCAAAAAAAATTCACCAAAACACTCCTAAAGAATAACCAAATTCAGCAAGTAACACAATTCAAAATCAGTACAAATGAATAGCATTCTTGTGCACCAATAATGAACTAATGGAGAAATTAGGAAAACAATACCATTTACAATAACATCAAGAAAAATTAAATAGGCTGGGCATGGTGATACATGTGCGTAATCCCAGCACTTGGGAAGCTGAGCCAGAAGGACCAGTGCAAGTTTGAGGCCAGCCTGGGCTACAAAGGGAGTTCAAACCCAGCCTGAACTGTATAGCAAGACCCTGTCTCAAAAAGAGGAGAAAAAAAGAAAGAAAAAAAAAACCAAAATTAAATACTTAGAATTAATCTAACCCAGAAAGTAAAAGACCTCTACAGTAACTATAGGTTATGTCATCTGCAGATGACACAGAAAATGGAAATATATCTCCCGTTTTTGGATAAGAAGAACCAGTATTATCAAAATGGCCAGACTTTGAAAACTGATATATTGATTTAAGGTAATCCCAATCAAAATACCAATAGTAGTCCTCAAAGAACTAGAGAAAACAATCCTAAAACTCATATGGAATCAGAAGACACTGAGAGTAGCTAAAGCAATCCTGGGTAACAAGAGCAAAGCAAAAGATATCACAATCTTGGATTTCAAGTTATAGTACATAAATACAGGGACAAAACAGACATGGTGCTGGCACAAAAACACACATGTGAATCTGTGGAGTGGAATAGAGGATGCAGAAACAATCCCAGGCATTTTCAGCCATCAGATCTTTGCCAAAAGTGGTAAAACAAAAAACAAAACCCTAGAGTTAACTTAGCCTCTTTAACACAAGATGCTAGGCAAATTGGCTACAAAAGTGGTCAAAACATACACTGGGAATAATATAGCCTTTTGAACATATGATGCTGGAAAAATTGATTATACACATACAGAACACTGAATTCAGATACATAATCTCTCTTTATGTACCAACATAGATGTCAAAATGGAGCTAAGATCTAAATGTTAAAACACAAACTATCTATGAGAAAATAACATAGGTAAAACTCTTGAAGACATAATGCATAGGCAAGCACATTCTAAACAAAACTTCATTTGCACAAGAAATAACATCAGGAATCAACAAATGCAATTATATCAAATTTAAAAGCTTCACAGGAAAGGAAACAACCACAAAGTGAAGAGAAATTCTACAGAATGGGAAGAGTTTTTTGACAGAGCACTAGAACTCAAAAATTTTACATTCCCACACAACAGAAGATCCAGTCACAAAACAGGCAACTGAAATGAATAAACACTTTTCAGAAGTACATATGGCCAAAAATACACTTCCCTGGCCGTTAGACAAATGCAAATTAAAACAACACTGAGATTCCATCTTACTCCAAAAAGAATGGATATTATTAAGACATCAAATAATAAGTGCTAGCAAGTCAGTGGGAAAAAATGGAGCCTTTTTACATTGTTGATGGGGATGCAAACTAGTACAAGCACTTTGGAAATCAGTATGAAGCATTCTCAAAAAAACTAAAAATACAAATTCCATTTGACTCAGCTATTTCTATTCTAGGTATCTTCTCCAAAGAGTTAAAGACACTGTGTTATGATGAAACATCTGTACTCCCATTTATAGCAACAGAATTAATAATAGCTAAAACACAGATGTAACCTCTGTGTCCACCAACAGATGAATGCATAAGGAAAATGCTGTTATTTATGCGCAATGGAATATTACTGCTATACAAATGGGAATACTGGAGTCCTTTGGGAAAAACAAAATCAATCCAGCTTGAGACTACTGACATAAATCACACACACAAGCTTAAATATGTCATGGTTTCTCAACCATGAGCAAGCCAAAGTACAGATAACTGAAGAACAAGATAAAAGACAGATAATAGCAAACAGGGAGGCTGATCTTTTGCAAAAGGGTAGGGGACCAAGAGATGGAGGGATGAAGGTAGGATGGGGAGAGGAAATGGATGAAAAAGATGAGTTATGTACATGTACCTAATTCCCATGATGAAAGCAATCATTATGCGATGCAAACGTGTGAATATAAAATTTTAAAATAAAAGAAAATAGGATTGAAGCTGTCTACTTTTATTTGCATATTCAAACAATCACCTATTGCACAGGCAATATTTTTCTTAAAATGCAGTGTTGGAATGATGGGGGAAAGGAGTGTTCTCAGTGTTCTCAGTGTGGCTGGAGGGAACAAGTGCAAGATCAGCTTTCTAGCAGGCAGCTTGACAACATATGTGAGAAAAACAAAACTGCTTGTGTTTTGTGAAAACCTAGACTACAGGAAAAGCAAAAACTTGTCAATGCACACAGCCTGTTCCCTCTTTTCTCATTCTACCTCTCCAGCTCTTCATTGTACACTCACAAGCAGCCACTTGTGCTAAGGTTGGCTAATCTTATCTAATTAACCAGATTGATTAAGCTTCTCTGAGTCCCATCTGATTCTCAAAGCGTCCTAGGAAAGACAGCAGGATTACTTTGATCTCTGCTTCTTAGCCAAGGTGGGTGGAGCTCTCCAGGGTAAAATTACTTGCCCAAGGTCACCAGTAAATTGGGACATGGAAGCAATAAAAGAACAAATAACTTAATTTTAAAATGAGCAGTGAGTTTCAAAATCAATCTTTCCTTCTTTCCTCCCCATCCTTTCTTCTCTCCTTCCTTTTCTTTTTCTCTTTTTTCTTTTTATTTCTTTCTTTCTTTGTTCATTCTTTCTTTCTTTCTTTCTTTCTTTCTTTCTTTCTTTCTTTTATTCTTTCTCTTTACTTTTTTGAGTTACTATGTAGTCCAGTCTAACGTTGAAATTGCTATGTACCCCAGGCTGTCCTTGAACTTGTGTTCACCTAACTCAGCCTCCCTGTGCAGGGATTAGAGATGTGCACATCACACTGGCTTGAAAAGATATTTCTTTAAACAAAACATACAAGATGCATGGTCCACAAGTGTATGAAAAGATACTGAACATGGCTAGTCATCTGCATATGAATAATCTTTAAAAATGGAGATTAAAAAGTGTCAGTGAAGATAAAGGAAATGAAACCCACATACTTACATTGTTGTGAATGTAAAACTGTTAAGTCACTTTGAAAACCAGTTTGGCAGTTCTTCAATATGTTAAACAGCTAGGGATATAGTTCAGTGGCACAATTCTGCCCTGGCAAGCATTAGGTCATGAGTTCAATTCCTGGTACCAAAAAGAAATAAAGAAAAGAAAATGTTAAATATATAGTCACAATATGGCCCAGAAATTCTACCTCTTGGCTTACATGCAAATTGAAGACATATTTTCTACACACAAAATTTGAATATGAATTTTCATGGCAGCATTACTGATAACAGCTCCAAAGTGGAAATGACCCAAACAAATCTTGATTTATAAAATGTGGTTTTTTCATTAAAAATACTGTATCGCCATAAGAAGGAATGCAGTGTTAGTACTTGTCATGGCACATGCCTATAGTCCCAGCCATTTGGGAAGCTAAGGCAGGAAGGAGCCTGACCTAAGGCAGGACCATATCTCAAAATAAAATTTAAACAGGGCTGGGGGCTCGGTTTGGTAGTGCAAGCTTGTAATCCCAGTAGTGAGGGAGGCCAAAGGAAGAAGATTACAAATTCAAGGCAATTTAGCAAGACCCTGTCTCAAAAATGAAAAGGGAAAAGGCTGAGGATGCAACTCAGTATGAGAGTATCCTGGGGTTCAATTCCCAGTACTGTCAAAAATATTTTTAAAAAGGAATGCAGTACTGACTCATGCTCTGACATGGATAAATCTTGAAAAGATTCTGCCATTAAAGAAGCCACAAAAGACCTCATATAATACTATCCCATTGATATGAAATATTTAGTCAGCAAATCTATGCAGACACAAAGTAAAGTAACAGCTTCTAAGAGGTCAGGGTTAGGATGGGTTGGAAGGTCTGATATTTCTCCCATGAAAATGCTTTGGAATTATCAAGGTGATGATGGGCGATGCACTGACTATATTAAAAATCACTGGTGTGTATTTTCAAATGGCAAATTTTATGCTAGATGAATTATCTCCCACCACAAAAAAAATCTCATTCCAAAAATAAAAAGCAATTTAGGGAATGGGCTCTAGATCCATGCTCATTTTTATCAGAAACTGAGCATCTCTTCAGCCTCCTAGTTTGTATCTTCCTTATGGTGGGGAGCTGAATCCTGCCCCTTACTTAAGGCCTTGCAATGAAGGAAGATTCCTAACCCAACCCTAGTCTCTGATGCAGAGCAGGCCACATTTCCAGTCTCCATGTTGCCAATTTCCTAGTGGAGAGGCCTGGATCATTACTGGGGAGGCACATGCTGAGTTGCTAGCATCAAGGCTCACACAACAAACAGGGACACATGAATCAGATCTGTAAAACTGGAGAGCTACTACAGGAGTGCAGCTGGCAAATCACCTTTACCCACCTCTGGCTTCTGCCTTTTGGATGGAAACTGGTATTTACAAAGTGGACTACACAACCTGGAAAACAGGAAGTGTAGGGCTTTATCTGATAAATGCAAACCACTCTGCACTTGACTCACAAACACGCAATTCATTCATTCAGCATCTGGTAGAACAGTACACAAAACACAAATTTCTCTTTTTGGAGTTCACATTGTGGTTAGGGAGACAAACTATAAACAGGATGATATCATATTATGTTCAATGTTATGCATGAAATAAATGTGCTGTAACAGACAGAGGTTGGAGGGGGCACAGAATATCTTTATTAAGGGCTGTCAGATTTTCCGAGGTAACATTTAATACAAGTCTATAGAAAGAGAAAAATTCAGGGACAGATCAAGCTAGACAGAACAGCATTTCCTAAGGCAGAGAGAGCTATGGTAACAGGCAACTGTCATGGCAATACACACTCTCCTGAATGCAAAGTCCCTAAAGACAAGGCGCACACAGCAGTGGCTACAGAGGTGCCAAGGGCAGCAGGTAGCAACACCGAGGACACTGGACTCAAGTGAACTGAGTGCACCAGGGACAACAGGAGGCCTAGGTGGGCAGAAGAGGGAGTATGAGGAAGATTCCAGGCAGGAACACTAGGGTGTCACAGGAGGTTTTACCTAGAATACTTGCTGTCCTGCCCTTCCTGGTGTCTGCTGCTGCCCTCTTCCACAAGGCTGATTGCTTCATCAACTGCACTGCCCCTGAAATCATCACAGCTCAGTGCACTGAGAGGTGCACTTTTTGTCTGCGGAATTAATGAGCCATTTTCAAAGAGCTCCTCTTTATTACCACGGTGTCTATGGGATTCTCAATCTGATTTTACTCGCATGTTTAATTGAAACCCAAACCAATTAAATATCATTTTATATTGATATTTAGGAGGGGCACAGGTTCAGTCACCTTGCCTAAACCCTCATACACGCACACACATAAACATACACAAAGAAACTTATAGTCAGGGCCTTAAATGTCCATCTTCCGATCTCCCTGAGTGACTCCACCCAACTTTGTATAATTCTGTGTCTGTCTTTGACTGAGTTGTCAGAATCCACATCTTCAGTCTTTACAAACAGTAAAAATTCTGGGCAGCCTGCCATTGGTGATCCAGACCTGAGGAAAGCAAACAGAAGGACTTTGGAGATGCCTCTCAACTCTAATGCTGCTCAGCAAGTCCCAGGTGCCCACCAGATTTTAGGACAGACATGCAAAGTTCTTCACTCTACAGAAGACAAGCTGCATGAACAGAGGGCAGGGACTTCCCCAAGTCTTTGCAGGCAAGGACCTTTCTGGAAGACAGATGGCTGGGGCAGGGCGAGAGGAAAAACTACTAACAGCACGATGAGAGCTCAGCTACCAACACAGCATGATGGGGATTCTTGAAGAAATCAGGAATCCCATCATTTGATAAGGTACACACTTACCTAAACCACGTTACATGCTATCGTTTACATCCACACAATATTTATTGCTATGTATTTGTATTGTCTCTGTTATTTGTTTTTCCAGCACTGGGGACCAATTCCAGGGCCTTGTGCATGCTAGCAAGGGAAGCACTCTACAATTGACCTACACTCTCAGCCCTGTATTTATATGGTCACTTAACAAAAAAATGAAAAGGAGAAATAAAGGGACTGCTTCACAAACTGTAATGTGTGAGATTTATTTGGATCTTGATTCAACAAGGAAGGTATAATGATGTAAAACTTTAATGTCAATTGTCAGTTTTTCATATGTAATAAGGGTTTTATTGATTTTCAAAATGACCCTTTTCTTTACAGACACATGCTGACACTGTCATCAGTGCAGGCCCAAGGTAGTGATGCTGCCTAGGAGTAACTGCTAATGCTGCTCCCAGGCACAGGGGACACATGCACAGAAACAGCCTAAAGAGGCAGCTGGAGCTCCAGAAGCATGGAGACTGGGGACCTAAAAAACCTTGGTACAGAACTGGGACTGCCACTGCCACTGAAGAGAGATGCAGGACCAGGGCAAGCCACTCAGCCTTCTGAACCTGTTTCTTTTTTTGCAAAAGGAAAGGCATCCTCCCGATGGGAGTTCACAAGATGCCACACAGACCCTTTGAAGTCCTGGTACATGGAAAGTGTTCAAGCAGTACTAGTGAAGGTCATGACTGAGAGCCAACGAGGCAACGCGGATGGGACCATACCTTGGAGCCACTGCAGGCACAGTGCTTCCACTCTTCAGGTAGCCCAGCTCTGGCCTGGATGGGAGCAGCATTGACCCCAATGTAGAGACAGAAATTTGTGACTGGGACAGAATACTGGGCATAAATAAGAATGCTTTTGGGGACTTAAACATAGAGACTTATAGAACTCTGATCAGAAATTGACGAAGTTTTTCTATGAGGGATCAGACAGAAGATTTATCCAGCTTTCCAAACTACAAGATGTGTCCCTCATTTCAACTCTGCCACTGAAACATGAAAGTGGATGTGGACCATTGGTAAAAACACATGGAATTCCAATAAAAATATATTTCCAAAACCAGGTAGCAGGCCTGATTTGGCCCATTCCTGCATCAACACTGTGGGCAAAAAATAGTGACAGTGAAAACAAGTATTAAGCTTGCAGGGAACAGGTGAAGCTGGAAACTGTCACATGTGTGGTGGTGAGGCAAGACCCAGGCAAGACCCAGGCAAGTAAGTAGGGGAACAAAAAGCACCTGAGGCAAGCCTTTGTTGCTAGGCAAGGCTGCTTCATGTGACAGCAACTTTGCCAAATTTATAAACAAACACCCCTATGGTGGTTGAGCAGTTTTCCTTTCCTCCCATCCAGAAAGGGCTCCACCTGACCTCAGCTTTTATCTCTTATCTTTATTTTTTCCATCCTCTCACCACCACCCGCAACTCCTGGGAACTTGAAAGCTGTGCAAGAAGCAGCATAAGCTAATAGAAGACAAAGAGAAAAAAAAAGAGCAGAGTGTACTAATAAATAGCTACATGACAGGCTTAAGACAAATCATAAGCATATTAAAACCATGACCCTAACTAAAAAGCAGAGATTATCACAGTGGATCAAAAAATACCCTGCAATATCTAACTCATCTGGCTACACAAAATACTTTACATATTAGTTTTATCTTAAAATTTTATTTGAAACAACTTTAGAGTTAGGCAAGTGCAATAGTATAAATTTCCTGTAAATCTTTCACCTGGCTTCTAACTGTAGCTATGACTCTCCCCAAAAAAATCCAAATTAGGATACTGATGTTTATACAATATTACTATATAAAAGAATTCATTTGGGCTTTATTTGTCTGTCCATTAATGACCCTCTTCTATTCCAGAATCCAATCTGGGACCCCACATTATCCATACTTGTCATGATTCCTAAGTCTCCTCCAGTCTCTAACTCTTCTTTGGTCTTCTATCTTTTGACAGAGTATCCCCCTTGGTCTGTCCAGATTCCTTTCATTACAACAGGGTTATACATTTTGGCAAGGACATCCTAGAGACAAAGTGCCCTCCCCCACATGCTGTGTTAGGACATATATAATGTCACTAAGCTCTACTACTGGTAATATTAGTACCGATCCATTGTTTATTGTGGTGCTTGAAAGGGTTGTAAAATACAGTTCCTATTTTCCTTTGTAATTAATAAGTATTACTGGGAACTTCTTTGAGACTACATAGGTAACTCATTTCTCTTCAAACTTCTACCCACTTTAGCATCTCTGGTGTACTGACAACTGGTGGTCAACTTGTAACACCCAGCTGAACTGAACCAGACTAGTGTTGTGCTGGTGTGGGAGGCCCACCTGAGGGTTGTTGTCAGCAGCATAAGAGGCAGAATGGGGGGAGGCTGTTGAGACCTGGTAGAAGCTGTTGGAGAAGCTGTTGGGTGCTGTTAGAAGCTGTAAGGAGCTGTTGGTTCTTGTGGAAGAGCTTGTTATGCTGGCTTTCATTGGCCAAGGAGCTCGGGACCTTGTTGTCGCTGAGTAGGGCTTCCCTTGTTTAATGAAGTACCTGTTTAAGGACCATCTCATGGCTGAGGCATGCTGTTTGTACTTAGGACCTACCACTTGGGACTGAGAACTATCTTTTTCTTGTATAGTTCTATACATCTGTTTATAGAACCTCAGTGTCTTTTTTTCTACAATGCACCCTGTTTATACAACAGTAAGTTTTGCTGATCAGCACAATGTAGCTTTATGTTCTGTATTACAGTACTGCATGTAAAAATTTATCAGTTGGAGTTTCCTTTGACAATTTCTTTGCTCCAAATATTGAAATGTACATACAATGTACAGTTCCTCATTAAGTGACCAATTCAACTAATGACCTAGCTGCAGGACCATAACTCAGTTGTTAAACAAGGAATATGTACTAGATTTGCCATAACTGTTTTTGCCGTGAATGATTTTTATTGTAGTGTTTGCTTAATATTATTTTATTCCCATGAGTCTTTCTATACTTAAATAGATGGAGAATCATGAGCCTGTAACATTCCTAAATATTTATGGACCTGAGAAGAGCTAAGAAAGACAGACAGACAGAAGGAAAGAAAGAAAGAAAGAAAGAAAGAAAGATAGAAAGAAAGCTTATAGAAATAAAATGGAAAAACACACAATTATAGAAGAAATTTCAATATTTTTTTGACCCAGGGTCTTGTTAATATAGTTTAGGCTGGCATTAAATTCACTATATATTCCTGGCTGACCTTGAACTAAAGATAATCTTTCTGCCTCAGCCTCCCAAGTGCTGGATTAAAGGCACGTGCCACCACACTTGGTTCCTTTTTTAATTTGATAGAAAAAAAATTTACGGGGCTGGGGATTTAGCTCAGCGGCAAAGCGCCTGCCTGGCAAGCGCAAGGTCGTGAGTTCGGTTCCTGGTACCGGAGAAAAACCAAAAAAAACAAAAAAAACCAAACACAGAAAAAAAAAATTTACAAGTTGCTCCTCAATAATAACAGGAAAAAAATAATTGGTTTCAAGTGCACATGGAATAATATTTTCTTTTTTATTAGTGCACACATTAATTTAATTTCACCCTCTTTTACTCCCTCCATTCTTCCTCTTCTCCAACTGTCTACTTAGAATATTTTTAAAGACAGATCTATAGCCTGAGCCACAAAATAAATGTAAATGAAATTAAGAGATTCAAATTGTAGAAAGTATTTTCCATGACAAAGGAATACGTTTAAAAACTCACAAATGAGATATCACTAAAGATTATACAGACTCTTAAAGGACAAGGGGATAAGGGAAGACTATAAATAACTTAAACCCAATAACTCAATAACTTTAATAAAGTAGTCGTATTTCCTGAAAGAAAAAAACTAACAAAGTTCACATAAGAAATTGATACACTGGAAAGCAATATACTTGTTAAATAAATTAAACGAGGCAAAACATTCCCACTAACTCCAGGCTCAAATGATTTCACTAGTGAATTTACCAAACATTTAAGGAAAAAATAAGACCAGTTTTACATAAAGTCTTACAGAATTCTTAAGAGGAGGAAAAATTTCCCAGCTCATCCTTTAAGGCTAATATTACTCTTCAGTTTTTAAAAATGACAAAAACCTGGTTGTAGAGGCACAGGCCTATAATCTCAGCACTTGGGAGGCTGAGGCAGGAAGACTGCTATGAGTTGAAGAACAGCCCAGGGTACAAAGTGATCTCAAGTCCAACATGAGCTACATAGCAATACCCTGATTTTTAAAAAAGACAGAAAGTTTCCAAAAAATTAAACTACAGACAAATACCCTCAAGAAAATAGATGCAAAAACTCTTAAAATTTTGACAAATTGAATCTAGCAATATAAAAAAGAACACATAACATTCAAGTGGGAATTATGCTGAGAATATAAGGCGGATCAGCATTTGAAAACCAATCAACTAAGTTCACCATGTTTCAAGAATCATAGTTATTTTACCAGTGTTTCTTTAGGGGTCACACTGCAGCTGAGTGGTGAGCCTGTAGTAGACCATCAAATTTCTACCTTGTAAGCTACACACAAAAACTATGCATACACTGCTTGGTGATCTAATTGCTCAACACATCTTAATACCAATTCTCCCCTATTCAAATATGTCATATATATACATATTGTGTGTATATATATACAAGTATATATACTTTCTAATCCTCTTGACCACTAACTAGTCAATCTTTACATATTTGTTAGTTTTACCCAGGAGTACTGTTTGTAGCAACGGCAAGGGCACAGGACCCTGTCAAAAACATTACGTCAGTCCTAATACTTGCTATCCTTAGAACATCTCTGAGATGAAAGTTTCTGGGATGGATAATGCTCAAGGTCCCAGCTAAAGAGTCCCCGTCTTTGATGTCACCTTCTCGATTTGGCTTAGGGTGAGCTCTTTGGCGAAAACCTGGAGGGCATCAGCTCTCTGAAAAGTCCACAACAGCATAATATGCTTGCGTTGACATCACCGTGGAGAAAAAGAACTCATAGCTACCTAGAAAGCTTTGTTGTGTTCACAGCAAAGGCACCCGCATCCTCCTCTTCCGGGGTCCTACCCTTGTCTCATGCCTGCGCCATCTGATGACGCCACTGGTCTGCGCTGCTGCGACAGCTTCCGTGCACATGCGCATCGCCTGCTTATTGAGGGCTGGAGGGGCGGGGCCGCTGCCGTTTGGAGAGATTTAGGCTCTGGGTGGCGCTAGCTGTTCACACATCTCTTATTGAGACCCAAAGAGCGGATAAGAAAGACTCTGGCGATTTAACCAAATTGATGGTTAAGTACAGAGGGGAAGTCCGGGGTGCTGAGAGAGGTTAGTAGCAGAGTCACTGCTTGTGTGAGTCGGGGCACGGGGGTGGTGATGGTGGTGAGTGGGATCATGAAATACTTTGGAAGCCCTGCGGTGGGGGCTGAGCTGGGGAGGCGAGCGGGCAACCCAAGGGGGAGGGGGAGGGAGTGTACCTTCACGTTGGCTGCTCAGAAGAGGTCAGCATGGACTCACGCGTGCTGTTATGGAGGAAGTTATTGGAGCAGGGTGAAAGGAAGAAAACTGAGCATTGTTGGCTCTATTTGGCAATATGGACACCAAATCTGAATTTTTCATCTTCCGGAGAAGGAATTGGCTATTCTGTGTCACTCTTTGGCCCTGCCATTGGCTATGTAATGGGAGGACAGCTGTTAGACATATACTTTGATTTCGCTGTAGTACAGAGCATTGATGTCACTAAAGATGACCCTCGGTGGCTGGGGGCTTGGTGGATTGGATTTCTTGTATCCTGGCTCTTTTCTTGGTCTTTGATAATACCTTTCTCTTGCTTTCCAAAACATTTACCAGGTACAGCAAAAATTCAAGCTGCGAAAACTTCCCAGACACATCAGAGTAAAAACAGTTCCCTACCACAGATAGATGAGGATTGTGGGCAAAGTATTAAAGGTTTTCCAGTGGCTCTAAAGAATTTGATGAGGAATACTGTCTTTGTATGTTTAGTTCTGTCAACTTCTTGAGAAGCCTTAATTACTACTGCGTTTGCTACATTTTTACCTAAATTTATAGAGAATCAATTTGGACTGACATCCAGCTTTGCAGCTATCATGGAAGAGCTGTTTTAATTCCCGGAGCCGTTCTTGGGCAGATTCTAGGTGGTGTCATTGTTTCAAAATTCAAAATGACGTGTAAATATGCCATGAAGTTCGCTTTTGTCACTTCTGGAGTTGCACTTGTGCTGACGTTTTTACTTATTTGTGCCAAATGTGAAATGAGCCTTTTGCAGGTGTCTCTAAGTCATATAATGGGACAGGAGAGCTGGGAAACTTGACAGCCCCTTGTAACACCGGCTGTAACTGTGTGAGATCTTATTATTATCCACTGTGTGGAGGAGATGGAGTCCAATATTTTTCTCCCTGCTTTTCAGGTTGTTTAAACTAAGTTTCAAAGAGTAAACCAAAGATATATTACAGCTGTTCCTGTATTGAAAAGAAGGCCCAAATAACATCTACAGACAGTGTGGGTTTCGAAGCTAGAGCTGGAAAACGTGAAACTCACTGTACAAATTTGCCCTTATTCCTTGGTATTCTTTTTATTACAGTGATTTTTACCTTCATGGCTGGCACTCCTATAACTGTGTCCGTATTGAGGTGTGTTGATCAGAGACAGCGGTCTCTAGCATTGGGAACACAGTTCATGGTGCTTCAATTACTGGGTACCATACCCAGACCATTTATATTTGGTGCCACAATCGACAGTACATGTACTCTGTGAGATATTAATGAATGTGGGATTAAAGGAGTTTGCTGGGTTTATGATAACATCAGGATGGCCCATATGGCTTGTATCACTTGTAAAATTATCACTATTTTCTTCAACAGACTTGCAATCTTTTTGTACAAGCCACCACCACCAGGCACTGAGGTGTCATTTCAAAATCAGAGTACAGATGTGACTACTGTCTCAACAGAACAAGACCTCAACAAGGGAATGAATGATGGGTGAAAGAGAGAAAGGCAATTATCTTGCAGCTAGAAAGTCAGCCTTCATTTTGGAGAACTGAATGCCATTACAGCATTATTTGCTCAATATGGACAATGTTTTAAAAACTGATGTTTCATAACTGTGTGTGTTTGTTGCATGTACATGGACAGTTGTTTTTGTTTTAGTGCAAGAAATAGACCTGTATCTTTGAAGTCCATCAAAGCTTCAAATCATACATGCTCACCTTTTTGCCATACTGAATAAAAGCAAGAAAAACAGCCAACCATTAGTTAAATGTTTACATTTTAAAACCAGTGAGGAAAAATTATAAAACAGTAATTTTTTATCTCTTTTACAGTTTGTTACATTTTAACTGTCATTGTCAAATAGCTTATTTGAAAATTTATCATGTAAAAATTTAAACTCATCAAGTTTATGTAATGTTCTATGGGAATTATTATAGGAAGCCCATGAGGGAGCTTTGTAAAGGCAGCTTTGTAAAGTAGTTTCTTTTTAACATATATAGTACTAGTTTGAACTTTATTTATCACAGTAAATTATTAAACTTAGAATATTGGTTAATTATCTTTGTGTTCAAGTACACAGTGAATACAGAAATACCAGGATTGAATACATCTGTTTTCACTTTAACTTAAAAATTCCAGGAGGTAATTTGCTGAGGGGTTTTTTGTGTTGTTTTGTTTTGTTTTGTTTTGTTTTGTCTTTTTTGAGACAGGATCTTGCTATGCAGTTCAGGCTAGCCTTGAGCTCACTTTGTAGCTCAGGCTGGTCTCGAACTTGCAATGACCCTCCTGCCTCAGCCTCCCGAGTGCTGGGATTACAGGTGGGCACCACCACACCTGGGCTTTTGTTGAATTTTTAGCACTTAATTTTTATAATCCTGTGATAGTATTATTCAGTTGCATATATTGTAGAGGAGAGAACCTGAGCAGTAATAAAAAATGCCCCTGATACACAAAAAGAGGGCTAGGAGTATAAGCTCAGTGGGAGAGCTCAGTTTATAACTCCATTTATTCAGGTCATATTTATATTACATTAACTCAGAATATGGAGGAAATAGCAGTGAACATCAACAAAAATAACTTTTACTATCGTTAAGAATTCTCCTGATTGAGGATGGCATTGAAGGGGTAGGGGTGTTGCTCAGTAGTGAAACATGGCCTACCTATTGTGCTGGAGACCCTGACTTCCTAAACCTGTGCAGCGGGGGGAAAACATTTTGAAGTTTAACATTTGAATGTTTTTCCAAACTCAAGACTTACTAGGTTTCTCCTATCGGTCTTTTCCTAGGTTAGGTTTTTACAGGCAGTGTTGTATATACACTGATCAGGATAGTGCAAGCTGAGAGTAAAGACCTAGTGGGAAGTCAACATCAGAAACCAAGGAAGTTGGCGGAATTTAACAGGTTTTGTTTGGTGGTAATCCGTGGGCAAGGATCATTGAAGAACCTTGTAGCAATGTACCCTGAAATTCAAGAAGCAATGAGTTAGGAGTTAGATAAGCGAGCGCACTTGTATGTCACAGGAGAGGGCCAGTGGGTCAGTAATGAGAGGGATAGATCGACTTAACTAGGAACATTTGAACAACAAATATCAAAGGTAAAAGGCTGCCAAAAATTTACAAATTTTGTTTTGGAAACAAAATTTCAGCAACCAAAGGGCTGCACAAGATAGGTAGGGGAATATACATATGACCCCTCAATCCCTGGGCTGGGCATCCCCTTCCCACTCAGCAAGAGACATTGTGAATGTTTCCACATGGTGGAACCAAGACTAAAGGACTTTCTGTGTTTGAATGGCAAGTCTTGAGAACTTTGCTGATAAAAATGTGAAATGAGGGCCAGGGATGTAGCTCAGTGGCACAGCGCCTGCCCAGCAAGTGTGAGGTTGGGAATTTGATTCCCAATACCAAAAAAAAAAGTGAAATGAGAACAAAGGAAATGGAATAACTATACAAACACTCCCAAGGCGGGGCCCCTTAATTTTAGAGAGCAGGAAAGAGGCTCACCCCACACACAGAAATAGTTTAATAATAGCTTAATAAATACTTGTCTTTCATAAAGATCCTTAGTTATCAAGGCCTATGCTACCCTGTATTGAATGTATTCAGTTTTATAAGTTATATTTTTACAAACTTTTAATGAAAATGGTTAAAGTAGAATAGTCATTTTGACACTTAAAAAGGAATCTGACTTTTTATTTATATTATGCATATGTAGAAAGAACACCTCATTCCATGATAGGGTGACACTGACACTGTGATAATTTAACATCATTCTTTTTGCTTTGGGCTTCATCTAGGTTGGTGGTGGCGAGCCTCTGGCATCTGTGCCACTGTGGGCTGTTTGTTATCATTAACAGCTCTAAAAGTTTTGCCGTCGCTGACCTAGATTATATGTGTTGATATGCTACTTCCAGAAAAAATTTTCACAAAATGTGGTTTTCACAATTTAAAATGATTGTAATCAATGTTTGAACTTATTGGTTGACTTATGATTTTGTATATAATTGGATATATTATCTTAGCACTTATGACATTTTGACTTCCTATTGCAGAAAATACAAATTAAAATTCTTTACATGGAAAGAACTCTACATTTTACTGTGTAAATTGGAAGAAAATACAAATAAAATATTAGACTATTCAAAAAAAAAGAAAGAATCTGGCATAGTTATACTAGTTTCTCTTAGTTTATTAAAAAGAAAAGTTTGTGCTAATATCATTTGGAGAATTTTTTAAAGGCCATATCTTGTACTGTAATTACTTTAAAGATAACAATACTCAATATATTAAATACAGTTATTCTCCTATTATTTTATTATGAAATTTTTACTTTTTTTTTTTTGTCTTTTTGAGGGTTTCACTATGGGTTTCACTATGCACTTCAGGATGGCCTTGAGCTCACTTTGTAACCCAGGCTGGCCTCCGACTTGCAACAATTCTCCTGCCTCAGCCTCCCAAGTGCTGGAATTACAGGTGTGTGCCACCAGGCCTGGCCTTGTTTTGTTTTTCTTTTTTTGTACAAACTAAAAAATTTAAAATAAAACAAAACAAGTACTCTGAACCTGCCAGTCCCTTGATTTTGACTCCTAATCTTCAGACTCTGAGCAATACTTGTCTGTTTTTTATAAATTTCCCAGCTCAGATACCTTGTTACAGTAGCACAGACTAAAATCTCCACCATCTTTATTTCTATTTAATGCTTCATTAGAGGTTTCTGCTAGCATTATATGGTTACAAAGATAAGAATTGAGAAAGAAGAGCTTGCTTATTTATTTATTTATTTATTTATAGTTTTTTTGAGGCAGGTTCTCACTACGGAGTTCGGGCTGGACTTGAACTCATTGTGTAGTCCAGGCTGGTCTTGAAGAATAGGTGAGGCATGAATGAATGGTGTCAAATTATGGGAAAGAACATGGGGTCTGGAAGCACAGAGGCGGGACTTCACCCAAGCTCATTCACCTGGCCTCTGAGTAACTGAGAAAATCATTCAAGGTCTCTGAGCCTCAGCTTCTTTAAGAGGGGTGCAAAGATATTAGACTTCCTTCCAGGGTCACCTTTGCAGGGCACACAGCACAAAAATGCCAGTGTCTACCACATTTCATCATCTTCAGTTCCAAACCACCCATCTGATGACCAGGCAAAGAGTCCCAAAGTAGGAGGAGATTAATTACCTCTAGTTTTGCTCTCCCTAAGGAACACAGAGCCCAAGGAAGACATGGAGAGAAGTGCAGATTGGCATGGTGGTGATGATCCACTCTTGTTGACATGTCTGACTACCTAATTGGAGGTAATCTTTCATTTTTCATTAAGAATCTTTTCTGTTTCCTGATTACTTCATATATACTTATATTCTCTTTTCTATGCATTATTTTTCCTTTCATTTCACTTTTTGTGTCTTAACTACCCTTTTCCTTTTTCCCATATAATAGTCAAATTCTTATTTTGTCTTCTTAATTTTTTAAATTTTATTTTCTTTTGTTGTTTTGCTTTTGTTTTTGCTTTTGTTTGGTGCATGCATGTGCACACGCACGTGTGTGTAAGTGAATAATGTATGTGTGTGTTTACATGCAGAGCTAGGAAACTGAATTGCATCCCTAATTTGTTTTATTTATGTTTCCTGTATATTGTGAGGCAGTGCTCCTCTTCGTTGCCCAGACTGACCTCAGTCTCACAGTCCACCTTCCATTGCCTCTTGGGTGTTGGGATTGCAGACCTGTGTCATCATTTCTGGCATCTTTGTCCTTCATTACCACTGTTCTTCATGATTCAGGGGACTGGGAGTAACACTCTGAGTACTCTGGGAAGACCCTCTGATGCTCAATTATACTACCACCACAGGTAACAGGCAGTGGACCTTGCTTCATCCACAAGGCAGGCCCAGTCATACTTTGGTGAACATTTTTACTTGAAGAATAAGAGACAAAAAGGCCTAGCCAAAGACCATGCCCCAAGCAGGTGTGCAGGGTGCTGAAGAGTTGCTCCTGGACATCAACCCCTACAGCAACACCAGAGAGAAAGACCATGGGTCTACACCTATGAGGGGCCTCAGCAACATCACACCACAAACTTGTCAGATGCACATTGTTGATGATGCTAGGGGAGCAATTATAGGGGCCAAATTTCATATACACTACTGTCCACAATTCAATTGCTTGACCCCAGGAAGGACCATACTCTCTTGATATCTATAGAGAATGAGACCCTCAGATTGGACATAATGTGGACTAGGTGGAAATACACTGAATACAGAGAAGTAAAGGGGAAACTATTCTACAGGACATTGTTAGAAACATATTTAACACTTTAGAACATCTGACATCCAGGAAACACCACCAACATATTATTTCCTAATAGAAATTAGTGGTATCAGAGCCCAGAACAGCCAATCCAGTTATAACAACTCTAAAGGGGATAGACCCTTTCATGCCATGTAATGAAGGGAGCTGAGAATAAAGCTCTGAGTTCTGGCTCCGAACTCCCTACCTTACTATGACAAGATAACTATCTATCTCCTTATTTCTCTTCCCTTTTCAATAAAGTCATTCCTTGACCACATACAGCTAAGAGACTCCACTAATTGCTACTGTGGAGCAAAAATTGTTCCACAGACTGTTCTAATTCAAATTCGGCTCCCTTGATTGAATAGCTTTGAGGTCAGTATTTGAGATTTGCTCTGACCCCTAGACGTCTCCTATTGATTGATTTAATTTAGCTGGTCCTCTCTGAAAAAGTACCCAGTTATGGCAGGAAAGGAGGGACTGTTTCATTACTGTCAAATTGGGTAGATTTTCAGGTTCCCAAATGTGTCTGCTGCTCACAGGGACTCTACTGACATGAGAAGGGATGTAAGTTTTGAGTTGCAGTGGTGTCACCATTGCTAGGTTTCAGTTAAAGTTCTGTCTGTTCTACAGGTCTGGTCTAACCTCATCTAGCAATATGGGGGAGGTGGCATCTTGTTTTGTAGGTCAGCATGGGATTTCAGACTCCACGCTAGTGTTATAAGGAAAGGCTCATCACCACCTGGTGAGGGTGAAATTCTAAGTCACGCCTTGACCTTATCCAGTAACATGGTGGAAGGGTGAGGGTGGATGCTTCTACTACAGCAAGATAATGTAGATGGTTAAGTCCTCCATTCAGACTTCACTACCATGGGAAGGAGTGGGATGCCAGCTTTTATTTCTGATGCATTTAGTGGAAGAAAACAGTTACTATCTATGAGATTTCTTTCCGTCTTGCTAGACTTCCTTTCTTCTAGTTCTTTGGCTAGAAAACAGACACCTGTTGGAGCTCAAACATGCACTTAAGAGAACCTTTGGTGTATATACTAGAAGGTTTTCTAGTTGCAGTGTATCATGTAATATAATAAGTATTTGATGCAGTTTTTAGGCAGAAGTAGAGTCAAAGATTCATTTCTTTATTATTCTTATGTTCTGCATTTTGCTAAGGATCCAAGTGATGATTCCCTCAAACCCTGCCAGTTGCCCTTCCCTCATTCGTAGTTGTTACATGGAGACTCAGCATGCCAAAGTTCCAGCCAGTTTGTGACAAACACAGTCAAGAGTCAGTGTGGCATTAAACTATTCCTTATAAACTGAAGAAATGGAGCGCAGAAAGGGATTGACTCAAGTCCACTCTAAGACTGCAGGCCTACTGAGGATGGAGCAGCATATTCAGGGGAAATAGAAAAGATGTGTTATTGTTTGCAAAAGGCAAGAGGGAGTGACTGTCTGAGGATTGGTCAGCATTTACTCTTCCCACCATTCTAACTGAGAAAGGTTGGCCCATTTCATGTCCAGCTTGAATTTAAGAAGGGAGATTATCAGTGAAGGTATTTCTGAAACAGCTCAACTCAGATACGCACAGGATGTTGGAAAAGCGTCCTATATTGTAAATAAGTTTTTTAGAAATATAAACTGAATTGAGGACTTTCCAAAATAAAACAAATTTAAAGTGAGATTGTGATCAACATGGTGGTGCACACCTGTAATCTCAGCACTCAGGGGACTGAGCAAGCAGGATTCTAAATTCAAGCCTGGTCTGGCAACTAAGTGACCTAGCAAGAACTTGTCTCAAAATAAAAATTTTAAAAACTGGGGATGTAGCTAATTGACAAAACACCTGGCTCCAGTCCCCAGTATTACCATCACTTTAAAAAAAAATGAGATCTTTAGTGTAGATTCAAAGCCTTTCTTGTTTCTTCTCTTCAAAATTTAGGTCAAAATATAAACACGTGCTTCAAAACAGTTAATTTTATGTAATAGTTTTATTTCTTAAAGCTCTAGAAGTCTCCTTTTTCTAATCCTGGCTTTTATGTGTTGCAACTAAGTTACCTAGGGGATAAAGAAGAATGAAGAATCATTGTGGGAGATTGTCAGTTTTCAATCTTCATTATGTGGGTCTCAAAATAAGAGGACACAACGGATGCTGAAACACACAAAAAAATGCAAATATTGAAGCCACTGATTTTCCTGCCAACTACACATCATGCAAAATAAGTATAACATATGTATTTTAAGAGACACACTTGTCCACCCATGTGCATTTGTTATCTCTATACTAACCCCTCCCTGCCCCACAGACATCAGAAAATGTCTCTGGAATCATATCCAGTGGGTCACTGGCAATTACAAGTAGCAAAGAAACTAGGGCAAAAGGATCCATGACCTGTTGTCTCTTTTGGATCCAAAGTTGTGTAGTTCATTTCCCTCTGACTTCTCATCCCTCTAGCTGCCTGTTAGCTAGTCTGCTGAGAGGAGATTCCCACAGACCCTCTCTAGTTTCTAAATGCTGCAAAGGATAATCTCAACTGCTTTCCATCTCAAGTGTGAACTTCTTTCATTCCTCATTTCCTGTGGCACTATGCCCTTATTTTTAATAGCTGTCAAACTGTTCTCTATCAGGAAGAATAATACATGCTGAATACTGAAAAGCTTTCTAAATCTACTATTCTAAGGCGTTTGCTTTAGGGAATTTTGTTCACTAATTAATGTTCTTATTTATTGATTTATTTAAACAGAATTTTTTTTCTACTGAGCAACTTGCATGTTTGAGGCATTATACTTGCTGCTGGGGTTATAATTAAAAATGTGACATTCCAGAATTCATCTGACAAATAACTAATCAGATGATTACAATGTAACATCTTACACGTTAGCACGGGGAGAGTAAGGGTGGCATGAGTGCAAACAGAGAGCTTGAAGACCTCCATATACAAGGAGTTGGAGGATGTCTAGGAGTAGAGCCATGGAGTTTGGCTGTGTGGATACGGGCAGGGTATATCCCAGCATGAGGGATTATAAGGGTGAAGGCTCAGGGTCATGGAAGCCTCCATCATCCTTGAGGGGCAGGATGGGAAGGAGTGAAAGAAGCTTGATGTGACAGAGGCATTGAGTGCAAGAGGTAAAGTGACGAAATGTTAGAGTAACATGGAATGTGCACAGAAGGAAAGGAATAGTGAGAATTTGGGAGGGAGGATCTGCTCAGTCAGTAATGGTGTGATCCCGGAAAGTGGCTTGTACTTCTTTTGGTCTTAATTTTATTTTCCATGAGTGAAAGTGATATCAAGGGACCTCAGAGTTTACATCTGTTCATAACCTATAAAAATCTAAGTTCTTGAGGTCCCTTAGCACAAAGAGTTCTACAAGTGCCTTCTGTTTGTGGGACTGAGACCTATTAATGGTTCTGTAGCCCAGGAGTTTCTATATAGCTCCAGAGGCCTGGTCTATGTTTTCTTTCCTTAGAAACAGTTCATTGAGGTCCTCCTACTGCATTTTGTCCTGTTACCACACACACAGTGCCAATGTTGGAAAGAATGTCAATTTTCCCCATCTGCGTCATAGTCTAAAGTTTCTCAGTAATACATAATTACCAAGGAAATTCTAACAGATTAAATTTAAAGAGAAGTAACATTGGCTGCTAATTCACTTCAGTAACGTAAATGGCAAGAGGCATTTATGAGCAAGCTGGTGAACTGCCTTGTTCTAAGGTGAAGTTCTGGAATTAGGTTTCAGAATGGTGAAGATAACTGCTTAAAATTAATGACAAGAGCTTATCACAGTGTTAGTCATAGTTAATGTAAAGGGCAGAAATGGCAGCTTTTGTGTTCTTATAAGTTAACTCTGAAAAAGTGGCCATCCCACAAATAAAAGCATGTTCTCCATAGCCTTGATGACTAAATCAGTTACTCAAAAAATTACATGCACCTTTTTATTTATTCCCACAACTTTGATGACTTTGGTCTTTAGATTTCTTTTCTGGAATGCTATATTGAATATTCACAAAAATCTATGTGGTGTCTCAATTTTAGTTTAGGTTTTCTCAGACACATTATTGTATATATAAGAAATATTGGCTTAGTCTCATATCCTGCAGTTTTTCCAAATGTTCTGCATACCTATCTTTTCCTATGAAGGAAGTACTTCTAATCCACTGTTGGCAAGTTGAGAACAGTTTGTTGTTTTTCTAGAACTAGTGATAGATACTCGCTTTTTACTATATGCACATTTTGTTGTTTCTTCTATGGTTTGTAGGGATAGAAGGGAAGAGGCAGTATGGTGCATGATCTGGGTGGCTAACATGGATAAGACGAGCATACACTTTCATTGCATGGTGTTCTTAAGGAGGTTGCCCTCTGTGGGACCTGGGTGTGTATTTGCTATGTGCCCTTAGGCCCTACAAACCTTAGCTCACCCCAGAAATAAAAGCTAAAGCCCTGATTGGCCTAGATTATACCAATCAGTGAAACAGTTATTTTTAGGAATCAGCTTACACTTATAAGTATGGACAAGCTGAAAACACCAGGCTGAGAAGCTCAGTTTGGGCTTCTCCCTGTGAAACAGTTCAATCGCTATTTGGCAGTCCCTGGTTTTGCCATATTATAGTTAAACCTCTGGTTCACTTTACTTTCTTTCTTGTTTTTTGTTCCTCATTTCATGCCAGAGGGATCTTCGATTTTCAGTCAGCCTCACCTCACCTCCTGCTTTTCTTCCTACCAGGGTGAGGGGATCAAGCCAAGGAACTAGAGGGTCTCCTAGCCTCCCAGACTCCCACAAGATGCAACTGGTTCTTGTACATAGTCCCAATTTCTGCTGTGCCTTATACCCAGAATTTTCATGTTGTAGATCTATAAGTTTCCAAGACTCATCCCAATGGTGATCTTCTCTCTGAGTATTCTCTTCACTCTACTCAGTAAGAAATTAAGTCTTTGTGGCCTGATCTTTGAGTCTTGGATGTTGTCACCAGATATAATATCCATCACTATATTTTAGTTGTTCATATACTGTATACAGTATCTTGCACTCCAAGATCAAGTCATCACTACCTTGCATTACACTTAGCTCTGTTTTGCCTGTGGGTCTAGTGCAAGATCTTGATATATAGTATAATGATTATTTTTTGAATAGAAATATGTCTGAGATACCAAATTGTAAATTTTTCATAAGATTGTGGATAAAATAAGATGTCTCACACTGGCACATCTTACACACATGCGCACACATATACCACTCACACACAATACTTACCAATGTCCATTGCGGAACAATTCAAATGCCTTGTTAATTTTTTCAAAAGGCAGCTGATGGGTTATAAGTGGATCTATGTTAAATTTTTTTTGCATATACTCTGTTACCAGTTTAGGAATGGAGGATCTCGTTTTATACTCTGTAGAAGGAAAGGAAAAAGTAACACAACATACAAACGATCAAAACTGACCAAAGAATCAAATGAACTATTTATGTAAAAGTTGATAAAAGTATTATTAGCAGATGGTCAGTTGCTCACCTTTGGATCATTTTCCTATGCACAAAAAGCAAGGTAATTTACTCCATAGGAGAATCCAGTTGCTGCTCAATTAGTAGGGTGGCTCAGGTGTCCTAGAGAAGTCCTACCCAGGGGGGTCCTGTGGTCTGTGGAGCACACCCAGACTGTTCTGATCACAGTGCACCAATCCACATTTCTTTGTCTGCAGGCCACTACCATGTCCTGTAACAGCTTACCTTCCAGCTGGATGGGCCTGAGTTACTTCTCTCACTGCATTAAAACCTCCATATATATCTGCTTCACAAACCTCACATTTCAACCTCCGAGATGAATCTACTTTGTAGATATGCTTTGAAGAGCAGTGCAGTAGGGTACCATGCCTAGGTTTTAGATCCTGTCTACTATTTGATCACCAAGATTAAGGCACACATGGGTTATTTTTCTTGTTTTTGTAACTTTGAATGGGTGGAAGTTCACAGAGTATGAATATTTTTCACTGATTATACGAATCATATTTTCTAATTTCTATATTTTATAATACTTTTCCATTACAGGTCCCTGGGGACCCAGCGGGGGGACTCTGCCTTCCAAGGTTAATGAACTCTTAGAGATATCAGAGAACTTGTCTAGGAGCACACTTCTGATACACAAACCAACCAAGATCGAGAACATACTGTCACTTTCCTTTATGCCTTTCTCCTGTTATCAGGCACTGGAGACAATATCCTCATCCCTAAATAACCTCAGGGCCAGTTAACAGATAACTAGGAGCCACCCATCAAAATTATTCCAGCTGTTTAAGTCTAAACTATTATCTGTTCCTTTCTGTAAAAACCATAATAAAGCTCTGGCCTCGAATTTCCAGTTCATCCCTTATGCCTCCTCATGGACCTGGCTCTTGGGCACTGTAGGCAAATGTTCTCTCAAGACAGTTGTCTATGTGTCTGTCATCTTCTATACTTGATTAAAGTAAACCATATGTATGTTGCAAGACACTAATGCACATCTAGAAAATGACAAAGCTGAACCTAAATATTTATATTCCTAACGAAGTTCTTTACAGACATTTAATGTTTTATTTAAGGCCATAAACAAAATGTTAATTAAGATTGGATTCCAAAGAAAAGTTGAGCTCTTTCTTAAAAAGATAGCTGGTACTCTTTATCAGAGCCCTGACTACAAATATTTTATGTTGCTTAATAAATATCAATTCACCTCCCATTACTAGTACAAAATACCTGAGATAATTAACTTACAAAGAGAAAAAGGTTTGTCTTGACTAGTATATTTGGAGGTTCCAATCTAAGACTGTGGTGATAAGGGCCTCTAATGAGGCAGCATATCGTCATGGAAGCATTTGGCAGAGAAAACTGCTTATGTTATGCCTCAGGAAGCAAAATCAGAGGAAGAACAGATTTAGGAGCCACCACAATCCCTATTGAACTGTGTCCCCAGTAACCTGGGGACCTCCCAAGAGGTCCCATCTCCTACAGTTCCACAGCATGGGCATTATGACCAGGCCTCAAACACATAGATGTGTGTCATTCCACAAAGAGCCGATGACTTGTTCCGAAAGAGCAGGTTAGGATGACTTACCAAGTCAGTGTTGTGGATCAATACAGTGAGATTTTCTTCCAGTCTTATTCTGTACTAGGGAGTGGCCCAAATATATACCTGGCTCTCCACAAATTAGGGAATATCAAAGTGCCAATAAGCACCATAAAATGTGATCTCTGATAGCTTATCAATAATGTTAAACTCATAATCTCTTTTTGCTGCTATGGGTAATAAGTATCTATGTTGGGATACATGCTTTTCTGTTTTTGATATACTGTCTTTTATTTCCTTTCATAGAGGATTGTTTTCCCTACTTCCCCTCCCCCTCATTTCTTACCAAGAAGCAGGCAGTGTGTCTGAGATTCTGAGAAAAGAAAAGGCAAGATGAAGGACCTACCTCCTATAACACCACCTTTCAGGGTCCTCCCAGGGAGAATCAGCACTGGGTCAAAGGAGAGTTGTGAATCTGAGGGTGCTACTCCAATAATCACACATACTCCATAGCTCACGTGGCATGATTCCAAAGCTGCAACCTAATTCCAGAAGTAGAACATAAGCTTCTCAGTAGCCCGATATCTCATACTCACAATTCTAAAACATAGTCTCAGGATAATAATATGGTAGAAATACCATAGAATTGAAAAGTATGCAGTACATTCACAATAAAATCCTAAACAAACTGCTTACATTCAATGGGATTAAGATTTTCAATATTTAAAACATGGATATTATTACTACTTAGCTAGTAAGAGTGATACAGAGATTAAGTGGGATAAGATATAAAAATGCATTGGCACAGTGTAAGGCATCTAAGATGTGCTCAAATTAATAGTAATGATAGTAATTTTATCAAAAACAGGTTTAATGCAATGGTAGAATGTGTGCTTACATGTGCCAGGTCCTGAATTTAATTTCCAGCATAAAAGAAAAATGCTCCAACCTCCCCCAAGCAAAACAAAACAGAAAACAAAATTAATTTCATGTCTCTATAAAGCTGATGTAATGTGTATCCAAATGTTGACAGCAGCACCCCTCACTGTGCCCCAAGACCACACAACATGCAAGACCACAAACCATGGTATCAGTGAGTCCAACAGCTTCAAAGGCAAAGTCAACACCACCACCTGTCATTTCCATCACCACCTCCTGGACAGGTTTCTTGAGGTTCCGTGGGTTGAGACAGTCAGTGACTCCGAATGCCCTCGCCCCGGGAAACTTCTCCTCATTGATGTCAACTCCAATGATCCTAGAAGCACCAGAGGCTTTGCAGCCCATGACAACTGCTGAGCCAATTCCTCCAAGTCCAAAAACCACACAAGTGGAACCTGGGGTGACCTGAAAGTTCAGAGAATAAATTCTATAAGGCATCCATAACTGATGCTCCTGTGTTAAAAAGGAAAGAATAAAAAAACATTTTGGCTTTAACAGTGTAGGAAAGAGCTCTCTGAATACATGGCCCCAGGTTTGACATTGTGTAGTTAGTCACTGAGCACAATTCCAAAGTATATTCTCACCCTTGCAGTGTTAAACACAGCTCCAAAGCCTGTAGGCACTGCACAGCTCATGATGCAGACCTTATCCATAGGAGCACCAGCATCAATTTTCCCCACTACAATTTCATGTACTACAGTATATTCAGTGAATGTGCTTGTGCCATAAAGATTGTAAATCTTCCTTCCTCTGCAGGTAAATCTGCTGGTTCCATCTAACATTAATCCAGTTGGAGAGAGGATCCTGTTCCACAAACACACAGAGTGGCAAAGAAGAAACAAAGGATTTTAGCTCAAAGTCTATACTTGTTATAATGAAAGTACATGGGGTGAGAAAAAGTCAAACAAATTGAAACTAACTTTTCCTTCAAACAGAAGTTACCCTTGGAATGCAAGCAAAATCTACATTTTCTGCATTCAGGAAGAGGAAACATTAATACTTTGTCTCCTAGGGAAAGAGAACAAAGAATGTGGTTAATCGCCTGGGTGGAGAAATAGAACAAAATTAACACTATGTTTATTGATAGGAAATTGCAGTAGATATTATCAGTGTGTTGTAATGAAAATTGTCGTTACTTTTGAAGTTAATTAATACTTCATTCTGAAATGAAAAGAAGTCAATTTTAATGCAAATGAACAAAGGATAATGAGAATTCTGAGATTTACTTCAGAAGTAACAAATTCAAAGGTAAGAAAGTTTAAGAGTCATGATCAATGTTTGTGGTATAAGGCTTGCCTATTTTAATTAGCATTCTATCCCAGGAGAAAGGCAGTTTACACTTAGTATATATTTAATATTTGTTCAAATAATAAATTAATACTCTAGTGTTAAGACTAAAATTAAAACTTGTTATGACATAGTTTATTGCTGGACAAGAGTTTAGAATTTGAGATAAGACAGCCAGTGTCCTTAATTCTAGCTCTGCCATTAAGTGGCTAAATCAACTAAATAAGATAATTTTGCCAAAGCTTTTCTTTCCTCATGAATAAAGTGGGCATAATATATATAACGTATGTTTGTGTTATGGTTGATACACTGTGTCAATTTGAGGAGTCTAGAGGTCTGGCTAAGTGACTCAGCAGGGAGCCAGGGTGCTTACTTTACGTTCATCCTAAGCTTGTGCAAGAGGAAGGCATGCAGAGGGTGTGGGTATAGAGGACCACCCCCACACCCCCAGGGTGGGTAGGCTGCATTAAAAAAAAAAAAAAAAACTGAGAAAAGACTGACTGCTGGTTCTTCGGAGGAGCTCCAGTCTTCGCCTTTGGTTTGGTCATCTCCTGGCTTCTGGTGCAGACTGTTCGGCTTCTGCCTGGGACTCTTCAGCCTTCGGGTATAGGCTCTCCAGTCTTCATCATAGATTCTTCAGCATTCTGTCGCAGACCCATCAGCCTCCTGATATGGACTGACACGGACACTGCAGGGAGCTCCAGGCCTGGGGCTGAGCTCTTCAATCTCCAGCAGGCAGACACCCTCTGCACGCTTCCTCATCCAACTCTGTGGCTGACCGTTGTAAGCCAAACTTATAATTTCTTATACATTTGTATATCTTGTACTATATCTGTTTCTCTAGTAAACCCTAACACAGTTTGTTATTAGAATGATATGTAATAATATGAAATAATGTGTTTGAAGTATGAATATGGAAAGCAAACATAAGTTCTGGAAAAAACTATCATAAATGGTGCTTACTCCAATCCATTTAAAAGATTATCCTGTCTGTATGTGCATGCGCATATGTGTGTAGAGAAAAAAAGCTCTTATACATATTCTAAATTTAACAATATAATGATATATTATACATATTTGCAATTCTTAGTTTAATTTTTGGTAAGTAGACTTGAGGTAATTTCTATAGAAAAATTATTCTTTTCTTTGAGTCCATTTAGCCAAACACAAATTTGGAAAATTCTTGAATCTTGCCTATATTTTGCCCTAAATCTGGTATGTGAACGAATTTTAATGTTTATATCAATATTTGATGATGCCTTTGACCTTTATTATACATTTGGGGAAAATCAGAGAGGGAATTAGACACAGCATTCACACCATATCTTGCTCAGTTACCTACCTGGCTTTACACTGGCCACACCTTCTCCAATACTCTCTACGATGCCAGCTCCTTCGTGGCCCAAAATTGCAGGGAGTGGGACTCTGTTTTTCCCTTCCAGGATGTGTTTGTCAGTACCACAGAGCCCAGAGGATATAATCTGAAAGGTGATCAAATGACTGAATATAAAATATTTTGTTATAAAATGAGTGACTCTTTCAGGAAAAATTCAATACTTCAAAGTCTAGAGGAAGAATACATCCCTTAAAGCTTGGGTTATTCATTTGGGGTACTATCATTTGTGTCCATGTAGTACAGCTGTTTCACAAAAAGAACCAAAGCACTTAGTATGTCTTTGTCTCTGTAATTTTCTCTAGACCTCTTTTACGTTATAAACACCGGGGACTTATTTTCTAGCTCTTTACCAACAAGTTATGTGTTCAGTGGGATGGGAGAAAACAGATAACACAAACTCTGGGGTCTATTTTAGTACATATACTCAGGTGGAAGGAACCCCTGGAGAGAACATTCTGATGCTTCTCTCCCTGCATTGCCCTCCACCTGCCAGTCAAAGAGCCTAAAATACAAGGCTTTTCACGTTAACTTCCATAGCACAGTCCTAGCATGCCAGTTCCTGACATGTTCAAAAAGAAGAGTGGAAGAGTTTTTCCCTCAAGACTCTGCCATAGTGCAGTTTTTTTTCTTTCTTCCAACTTGTAATTGGTTTTCAGTTCAAATGGCCAGTTCACCTCCAGAGTAAAGAGACTCCACAGCTTACTGGAGTTGGTGGCGGGTCACTTCTGTCTCTTATAACACCAATTAGTTCCACACAGCTATTCGCTTTACTTTTGTTCTTCCTAGTCAGCAGATATGGATCCTTGGAACTCTGGTACTTTTACCAATCTGATTGATCAGTTAGTTCAATACTTACTTATTTCCTTTATTCCTTTTTGACTTTTGAAGGTGGAAGGCACTCATCTCTGTTTTCTTGTGTTTGTTCAGGCTTTGGAAACAAATAGCTCTCCTACAAGCTTGTGTCTTCCTGCATTAAGTGTTGTAGGAAATTTCTAATTATGTGTCCTAACTACTGGCATTCAAGGCTCTATTTAGTTCTCTAAGCAAAGTAGTTTGTTACATTTACTTTATAAATAATCTTATCTTCCATTCCTTTTTGTTGTCCAAACTGTTTTAGCCTATTTTCTGTGTTATAAATGAAATTTATGTTCTATTTTTCTTCTGTTTCAGTGAACTATTTCAAATATTCCTGATGGTCTAGTAGTCAGTCACTGACACTCTTGATTAACTAGCTTGAAATAAATTTCAAAATCAAGCATCCTATTTGTAAACTTGGGATAATAGTACTTAACTGGAGAAATAGTTGCGTAGTATGAAGTAGAAATTATACAGGAGTAATTCAGCTTCAAATGGTGACAAATGAGGCTTTTTCAAACTCCGTGTTCCTCTAAAGACAAGTAAAAACTCTGTGTACAATATAAGTAACAGATGACTAGCAATAGGATAAATCAAACTGAACATTAACTGATTGAAGTAACCATAAAACTTCAGTAAAAACCTGCCAGAGATTCATGATGTTGATCCAATTGGGAGAACTCATACCAACTACACTGAATGGTATTCTACAAAGTAAATATAAAATTTCTTGTTTAGTTATGCATTTTGACCGTATATATATATATTTTTTTTCTAAGACATTTAAATACAATAGTGCAAAATGTCAAGGGTAATCAAGATAAATTTGAAGAACACATTGTAGAGCTTATTCTGTAAGATATCAAGGCTATGATAAAGCTGCTTTTGGCTTTATTATAAAGATAGATAAGTACATGTCTTCCAATCCAAAGGACAACAAAAAATAAATGAAATAGGTCAATGAAATAATTAAAATCAAGAAACAGACTCAGGCATACCTGCTCTTGGATTTAAGACAAAGTGGCACTAAAGTACCAGAGCAAAATACAGACTTTAAAAAACTAGATCAATTTAATATATAAGTAGGAAGAAAATGAGTCTGGGGCAACAAGCACAAAAAATTACTACCAGATGATTTTAATTTGTAAATCTAAGTGTAACATAAAAACCAGTTAACATTCTATACAAAAACAAGGAAATTTTCTTCCCAAACTTGGGGCAGGCAATTTCTTAATCGGAATATAAAATGAAACATTTATGAATTGGGCTGCAATAAAACTATGAAATTCTCTTCATACATAAACCATTAAGAGAGTGAAGAGTCAAGGTACAGACTAGAAGAAATTTGTAATTGTTATATGTATATGGAATATATAATCTAGATACCTGTCTACATATTATATTATGTAGGATATATATATATATTTAAAAACTACAAATAAGGAAAAGATTGACAACCCATTAAAAAAAGTTGACAAGAGGCTATTACCTAATTCACAACAAAGTTCTTCCAAATGACCTCAAGCACATGAAACATACTCAGACTCCTGAGTCATCAGAAAAATGTAAATTTTAATTATAAAATGCCTGGTAATACCAAATATTGATTGTAGAGGAAGTAGAATTATCTATTTATAGTGAGAATAGTATTTTATGCATTTTTATCAATACTATTTTATGCATTCCTATTATTCTTCCAAGTTGTGGGTGGTAGATCGTAGTACTAGGAAGAATGTGTATGCCATGGTGAGGGGGGGACAGGTGAGAAGAGATGCTTTGCTTTGTCTGTGAGACAGTTAGTACTACAGAAGCACCTCTTCTCCTAAACACTTTAATGTGTGCAGAGCCCCTTTTCCACCTTGAAGTTTAGGTTATTCCTTACCTGGTAAAAAAGAAGTTCTGAATTTCATCATTGTGTAGTTAATTAAGGAAAGGATATTGATCTTGTATATCTAACATGAATAAGGTAAAGAAAGGCAATAAAACCCTTAAATGCTGCTATGGATAACTTTTAATGACACTAGATATAGAGTATACTAAGATGAGTGGTAAAAACTGTATTTAAATGCTACTACTGGTAACAGGAAGTATAATTTTCCAGGAAACTCTGTTTAAAAATGATTTATCCATTGCCAATGACCATGAAATTTTTAAAAAAGCCAAAGAGTAAAGAAAAAGTGCTCAGGGGAGAGTGAAATGATTTACCTGTAGTTAACAGGTAAATCAGGCAGACAAGTTTCTGTACTATGTATTGGGTAGATGTAAATTATTCTGCAGATAAAAAGTTGAAAGCTGACTGGTCTATAAAATACTCTACTTTGATCAAGTGCAAACTGAAAGCCTGAAAATGTGCTATAATTAATACCAACGGTTTGGAAGCAACATGGCATCTCAGTGTAGATTGTACTTACCATGATAGGACAACATAAAGAACAGTTTTCTGAAAACTGGTAGAAGAATATTGGCTGGGGCAAAACTTATAAGACACGCCAGAGAGCTTGCTGGTTCTCTCTGTGTTTGCCATGTGAGGACACAGCAAGAAGAGAGTCATCTGTGAGCCAGGAAGAGAGCACTTACCAGAGCTCAACAATGCTGGTGACTCTGATATTGAAGGCTTTCATGCTCGGAACTGTGAAAAATGAATTTTGTTTTAGACCACCTAAACGATGGTATTCCACTGTAGCCACTGGGGAAGACAGTTTTTTCATCATGCCCTGAGTGGTGTGAACTTCTTCCCTACTAATGGGAACTGGGGTTACAGGGATGGGTGTCTGGGCCACAGTCTTTTAGATCTGCTGTGGCTGCATCAGAGACTCGGTGAGAGCTGGTTGGTGTTAGGAAGCTCAGTCTTCTCGCCATTCCCACTGTGGCAGTCTTCTCTGTTGTCCTCTTAGTCCGTTTTCTTCTTCCAAAACAAAATACCACAGAGTGGGTATAGTATATCTAAAAGTTTATTTGTCTCATAGTCACTGAAGGTAAGAAGTCCGGGAACATGACATCAGGCATCTGGCAAGGAATTCCCTGCTGTGTCACAGCATGTGTGTACAGAGAGGAGCAGATGCTGAATTTAATTTTTTAGGCAGACACTCCCATGATAACATCTACTCCCATGATAACTTAATCAGTTCATAAGGGTGGTGGCCCCATGACTTCATCACCTCCCTGTACCATTACATTGGCAACTAAACTACAACATGAGTTTTGGAGAGAACAGTCATACTATAACACCTAACGCGTATCAGAATAACTTTATAACTGTTGAAAAAGAGGTTCCTGTGTCAAAAATAGCCTGTGTTGATATTCAAATTTTAAAAACCATAGTGTATTTAAAATACCAGCATTTCAGTATTTCCATATCTTGTATGTGTGACATTTTAATAAAATGCCATGATCAAATCTTATGTATAGCAATATAAACCTGGCGTAAATCATATGAAGTCTAATTATTTTTGTATACCAATTCCATTTGTCCTCTTAAAATTGTGAAATCATTCTAAGCACACATTTCTGCGGCAATGCCTACTAAGAGTCTCATTTATATTTACCTTAATTCGAACTTCACCAGGCTTTGGTGGATCGACTTGAACCTCCTCAATGGACAGGGGGGCATTTGCTGTCCAGGCAATGGCTGCCCGGCATGTGATAACCTATGTATATTTAAAAATAAAATGATGAAATGAGCTTACTTTTATTAAATTAGAATCAGATGAAATGTAAAATTAAATTCACATCTACTATATTGTCCGGTTCTGCTTTTACCATTCTGAAGCACAGACAATCTACTATATTTACTGAAAATAATCACATATATAACACATATATGAATAATATAAAATGTTACCATGGGAGACATATATGGATATGATATATATGAATAATGTAAACTGTTGTTATAGGAGACATATTTTTGTTTAAACAACTTTTATTCTAGGTATCCAGTTGGTTTATTATTTTTCTTTGTACTCTAATGTCACAAGGTGTTTTTTTATTGACCAACTGATTATGGAGATCAGTTCAGCTTTATGAGTGTAACTTCTGCACTATAATTTCTAATATAAATCAATTATTTAAAACAAAGAGAATAACATGAATTATGGAACTAATATAAGGAACGGTGACAATTATCATGCAAATAGGACAAGAAGCAATATCAACTTTACTTCTTTTGCTAAAGTCCATTCTAGTAAAATATGAAGAACACTTTATCCTACATTCATACTTAATTCCTGTGTCCTATGACCTTTGTTTATTCATTGCATTTTATTATTAAATCTCTATACAACTCAAGCTTTGATATTTATCTGTTGATTTTTCTATATTAATAAATGACTATATTTAAAGAATGATTTAATTTTGTTAAAGATTTTATTGTATTTTACAGAAGGATTGACTAAATTATTTCTTTAAATAGTACTAATTTTTTTCACAGTTTGATCTTATTTCTTAAAAATCAACAACTGACAATTTACCAAGAATATTTCTTTTGTGTAAAGCATGGTACACATGCATTCCTGTAGTATCTACAACACAGTCTTAGGTGGTAAAGTATATCTACTAGGGAGAGCATAGGTGAGAATATATTTCAAGAGAAAACCATGACTTACTTTGCTCGGTTTATCCATGGAAACTTTATCTTGCTCCATCTTTCCTTCTAGCTGGCTCAGAAGCAGAACTCTGTGTCTTCTCACCAACCAAACCCTGTTTATATTAGAGTTTCCTCACACCTCAGAGTGACTCAGCCAGTGTTCAGCAGCCAATGAGCGAGAGAGAAAAAGGAGAAATAAAACATTAAGAAAGGGAAAGAAAAGGGCAGATATAAAATTGAAGAGGAAGGATGAAGAAAAGTTTGGAGATAAAGAAAGGGGGTTAGTGAAAGAAGAAGAAAAAAGTAAATAAAAATTTAGAGAGAAAATGAAAAAGCAGAGGAAAAATAACAGCCTCTCTTAGGACCTTATGATGCAATGATTTCTTTTAGATGTTGGCTCCTTATCGCATTATATTAGCAATTAAATTTCAACATCACTTTTGAAAAGGACAACTGAACCACATCAATTGTTTAACTATGTATCAGAATGAGTTTGTAATTTTGAAAAAAAGTTCTACAAATCAATTATTGTCTCTAAGTTTTTCAAGTTTACTCTTATTTTTTCAAAGAAGAATTATAAACAAGAAATCTAAGACACTCATAATAGGGTATGGGCACTGCCTCACAGCAAAAACAAGCTCATAATCTCAGTGACATTTGGGTATCATTCTGCCAACTGAAGACCACTGTATCTTGATGTTATCAGAGAATAGTCACTGATTCTCCCACCACCTCAATGTGAAAGTAAGTCCAACATCCCTCATACTTTTGCAGAGAGGTTAGTGGCAACATATTATTCTTTACAAGTTTTGGTTAAGCCAATTTATGCTGTCACTTCAAAATAAACACTTTTTGAATAGGTTCCCCTATAATGAATTCTAGAATCTATAAAATTCAATATAAAAGCACTCTTATTAGTGTGCACCAGCTATTCTTTCAGGACCAAAGCTTTAGTAACCTCCTCTCACTTCCTGGATCTTCTGGATTGGCATAATGGTCACAAGTGGTCTTTCTCCCTTACCAGGCTTCAGTGGCAGGCCACATAGAAAGCTGCATGACTTATTTAATAATGGTTTCTGATGCAAAGCACTCTTCTTCTAAGCTTGACACCATGTGCCATTAAGCTGAAAACTGCTGGACACATACCAAGCTCTTTTGGGACAGAGATTCTCACAGACTCTGAGCCTACAAACTCCCATATCCAGGCATTATGCATTGGTGTGCTTTGTACATCCTCTAAGGATTCCTAGAGGAAGACCTACAAGGCAGAGTTAAGCTTAGGTTAACATATGGCACATGAAGGAGACAGGTACCCTCCATTATCTTTGTACTTCACCAGATGTCATTGTGTTAGGGAAATCACCCTTCTCCCGCACACTTTGGCCCATCTTGGGCTACCTGGCTCAACTAAATGAAGAGTACAGGGGATTTACCTGTTCTACAGATGGTAATGCTACCATCGCACACAGGAAACTCACTGAAAAGTTCCCAATTTTCATCCCCTTAACCTGGATGTTCCTGGGGGATGGAACTCAAGGATTAAAACAGTTGGCTGATCTTCTGGCAGGCATCTTAGCCAGCAGATGTTTTGGGCAACAGTTAGCTCCATATGAATATTTTTATGGAGTCTGCAGACTCAGTTCATCTGACCAATGGTAGCAGCAAAACTTTATCCAATGTTGGTCCCTTTGGGATAAAGAATTCTGGGACATTTCCTGTCTCACAGATGTTCACAATTATAAATTGTAAATCAATGTCCTATGTCAATGCTTGCGTGTAGTCTAAAGGCATAAAATAAAACCTAAGAGACCATAATACAAGGTTTCCCTTTAGAGTTACAGACATTATTGTGACCAAGTTATTCATTTCACCTCTCACAATTTAAAACCAGGCTTTGAGGACTGGGAATTTAGCTCAGCGGCAAAAGCGCCTGCCTGGCATGTGCAAGGTTGTGAGTTCGGTTCCCGGTACCAGAAAAAAACCAAAAAATAATAATAATAATAATAAAAATAAAAATAAATAAATAAAACCAGGCTTTGAAACAAGACATTGAACAGAATTTCACTTTCTTTATCAGACTCAGGCTGCAGTCACATAGAGTTCCATAATGACTTACTTATGTTAAATTCTATTGAATGATTGTTGGCAAATTTAGGTCTTCAAACATCAAAATAGCATTATGATAAAGTATATGATTCTGTTTTTAGTGTTTGCATATCAATGACCTTTAAGCTCTCACCTCTCCTCTTTTATTGTCTCACATCTAGGCAAGCTTATAAGAAAGTCTGCAAACTTTTTCCTTTGATGTGAAGTTCAAATGACACAAGCAAGAGCTTGTGGAACACTTATCCTAGCCCCACTCCTTAACCACAATAAAACCCAAAGCCATGCACTTAAACTTGGTCTCTTAAATAAATTTGGACTTGCATGAAAACTTTCTGTGCTCTTCCTATAAAGCATCATTATGTTTGCAATAAACTTTTTCATAATCTATTGATGTGTTTGTTTATAAATTTGGTGAAAGTAGTAGTTACCTCAACATTAGTTTTAGGTCTGACATAACTTACTTGAAATTCAGTCATGCCCTGTCCCCTTTGGCCTCATTAAACCTTCCCTTCACATGGAGTTGTGTGTAATATGACCCCTTTGTTCCTCACTTCACTGATCCAAAGCCCAACATGCCCACAACTGTAGCCATGATAAAACTTATTAGAAAGCACCAAAGTCATGTAAGTAAGTTTCCCACTTCACATGTTTTCTTTGAACTAGCCAGTTCATCCCACAACTCTGCCAAGAGAAACCCTAAAGTGTAGCATTGTGCACCTTAGTAAAGTTGCCCTCAGGAAAACCCCACATTCCCTTCTTTCTCTTGTTCTCCATCTACTGCTAGTCACTATGTGCTGCTTCCAAACATTCTGTTAGCTTCCCACTGTCACTCCTGACCTCTCTGAGTCCTGTGAGTTATACATTTTTTTTGGTTTGGTTTTTTTTGGGTCTCTGGTTTTTTTCCAGTACCAGGAATCGAACTCATGACATTGCACTTGCCAGGCAGACGCTGTGCCACTGAGCTAAATCCCCAGCCCCTACATTTTTTTTTGTTTCATGCATTTTGGCTTCACTTTCTTGTTGGGTCTCATCTGACTACATATCTTCATTTTCCCTTGGTCAGAACTCTCCTAGAGACTGTCTTGGCTTATGACCATTCACAAGAGAGAGGCCTCAAAGTTAAAACAGGGAGAAACCATAGCAATAGAAATTATAACAATGTAGTATCATCAGTCTTGACAATTTACTTATTAATTGGAAAGGACGATCCATTTGTCTGTGGAATGACTACAATAATGTTATTTTCTGATAAATTTTAAAAGGAATTAAAGCACAAAAATGACACATATCTGTTGCAGTTTACTACTATGCTATTTTAAGTCATAATTTAATTTATAGATTGCTGTTCCAACAGCTAATAAATATCTAAAGGCAATACACACTATGAGACATATGTGGCATAACAATTATAATGGATATATCCATATCCTTACAAAATTTCCACGTGCTCCTTTATATCTTTCTTCTCTTCATTCCACCACTTATCTCTAATCATCCCATGATTATTTTGTTACTGTGGCTCTGTTTGCATTTTATACAATTTTTCATATTTGGAAGCACAGATTTTTTTTTATTTAATGTTATTTTGAGATTAATCTTTGTTGCAGTGATTATCAATACCTCAATCATTTTATTGTGGAATAGTGTTCTACTGAATAAAAATATCCTTCATTTATGCTCATGATCAGTATTGGTATTATTTCTAGTTTTAGGTTATTAAAATATTGCTGTCATGAATATTTGTGTGCAGGACTTTTTAAAAAAAACATGCTTTCATGTTTTTTGGGTAAATATCTAGCATTAGAAAACCTGTGCCATTTGATAGTTTTATACTTAATTTTAAAGGATTCTTACACTATCTTAAAAATCATAAGATAAACAGGAGTCAGTCAATATATATCTTGCTAGTCCTTCCAAGATTCTCAGTGTCTGATGGCCTTGGAGTTTACTGATTTTTTTCATCTTTGCTCAGTCAGCAGCTCATTTAAGAATCATCAGAGATAACTCTTGTTTTTAAAATTAAATTATTTCACCAAATCCAACACCTTGAATTTTTCCCAATTGTAAAAATTTGTTTGTTTCACCCATCCACCAAAACACCAGCCTCAGGAGAATTCAGTTGTGGATAAGGGCTCCATTTATGGTTGGATTAGAGGCTGTATGTGTTACATTCTGCTATAAAATTTACCTTCATTTTGGTCATGTCCTGACACATTGCAAGAGACTGAGATTAAGGCTCATAGGCTAATTAATATGGTAGAGGAAATGTCAAGACAACCCAGCTTTCAGGCAGTGGCATGGGTACGTGGGTTGTTTTAATCAGGGGCAAAAGTTGGGATGGAATGAAAATGCCTGTAAAGTTGGAAACAGGAGGAGCATGGTTGCTGAAAAGATTAGCATGAAAAAGAAGCCAAGCAGTTCACAACAAGACAAGAAAAAAGATGGCTGAAGGCAACTTAGGAATTATCAAGATGCCACCCATCACAGGCTCACAGATCAAGAATAAACCTTTCATTTGAGAAGAGAGCTACCAACTTCCCTGCTAGAGGAGGGCTGCATATGGAATTGGTTCCGTGGAACTCATTTCACCATATTCAACCATGCAGGAGCTCAGAAGTCACTGTAACCATGGTTCAAGAAGGCTTGGCTACTGCTTAAGTAAGCAACAGACATTGGCATCCCCCCCATGTGGTGCTGGTCTTACAGGCATGCAGAGTGCAAGAAATACGAGATCAGGAAGGCATATTAAGATTGAAGTGAGTCATTTGAAGGCAAGGGGTAGAAAGTTATAGTTTAGATCTTAAATGTCTCTCAAAAGTCTCATGTATTTGGATTCTGATTAGATCATGTGACTGCTATACTCAGTGGATTCATCAATCCATGAGCTCAGTAACTGAATTTGTTGTTAGAGGCAGGGCCTCGTTGGTAGTGAATCACTAAGGGAATGGCATGGAAGTGTGCATTCTTGTCCCTGCCTCCCCCTTCCTTTCTCTGTTTCCTGACGGACAGGAGAAGAGCAGCTTTCCTCCACCACACTCTTCTTCCATGGCATTTTGGCTTTGGAGCCAGCCAACTATGCGTGGACTGAATCCATATGTCAAACTAAATCTCTCTTTTTTGAACCTATCAGTGTCAAGTTTTGTGCCCCAGTAATAGGAAAATGGCCAGAATACCAACCCTTGACATGATTAGCCTTTTTAGGACTAATCTAATAGGTAATATCCTATTATTATTTTTATTTGCACTTTCATAATCACTAGTGATGTTGAATATCTTTTCATTAGACTCTCTTAGTTTCATTCTCACCACTGAGCCATAATACCCAACACCCACAACTTAAGGAAATATTTATTTTGGCTCAGTTTGTAGATGTTTCAGTACATAGTTGGCTAGTTTCAAGAAGGCAGGGTATCATACAGAGGGGCATGACAGAGAATTGCTCCTATCATGTCAGATGAGAGAAAGGGAGAGAGAGAGAGAGTACAAGAGAGGAGGGAAGGAGATAGACCCTTCTAGCCTCACCCCAAGTGACCAGCCTCCCCCAATCAGGCTTCACCTCCCAACATTCACATTTTGCTGTAGACTCATAAGTGGACTAATGCACTATGAGTATCATGTCCCTATTATCCAATCACCACACAAGGCCCCACCTATGAAGGCATAAGACTTTTGGGGGACATCCATACATAAACCATAATGAGTCTATTGGCCATTGGCATATATTCTTTATAAAGAAATGTTTATGTAAATATTTTGCTCATTTTAAAATTGGATTCTTTATATTTTTAAATGTTCAGTTGTAAGAGATTTTTGTATAGTCAGAATACAGGAACCTTATTAAATATATAACTTGATAATAACTTTTCCCATTCTGTGCATTGTCTTTTTCTTGATAGTGTCTTTTAAAGCATGGTAGTTTTTAATATTTTAAAATTCATGTGTGTGTGTTTGTGTGTGTGTGTGCATGTGTGTGTAGTAGTTTTAAACATTGTGTGTGTGTGTGTGTATGTGTGTATGTATTGCTGGAGTTTGTACACAGGGATTTAAACATGCTAGGCAAATGCTCCACCATTGAAATACACAATTCTAGCAGTTTTTCAAAAATTATGGTATTTCATTTACCTCGTTTTCTTTAGGTGCTTTCATTTTAAGTCATACCTAGGAAATCTTTGCATAATTCAATGTCATAACAATTTGTACTCATTTTCTCTGAAGGTTTTTTACAGTTTCTTTTTTTACATTTAGTTCTTTGATGCATTTTTCAACTTTCTCAGAATTATTTGTTGAAGATATACGTTCTCCATTGAATGGTCTTGGCATCCTTATCAAAAATCAACCATAACTTAATGGGTTTATTCCTGAAGTACCATGCTATTTTATTGACTTATATTTCTATTTTTAATAAGGGCACCATATTGTTACAATTATTGTATCTTTGTAGTAAATTTTGAAGTTGGAAAGTGTGAGCCCTCCAACTTTGTTCTTATTTACATTTCTGCCAAGTTTTTCAACACTAGTTTTATAGGGTATATTTTTCCTATACTGTGTATTTTTAACACAAAAAAATGTACATATTCTGAGAGGTTGAGGTAAGGGAATTTCAAATTTGAGCCCAATCTAGAGAACTTACTGATATCCTGTCCAAAAAAAAAAACCCCAAAACAAAACAAAATTCCAAGTTCTGATGATATAGCTCAGTGTGAAATTCCTGGATGAAATCCACAGTACAACAAGGAAAAGTACATATTTATAAGTACTCTATGATTCTTTGATACACACATCGTGCATTAGTTAAGGTTTAATAGGGTAACAGAATATATATATATATATTTACAAATAATATATATATTTGCAAATATATATATTAGGTAGGTTTACAATGGTCACCTG